GTATGGGTTGTGAGGCCTTACAGTATGGTTCGTGAAGCCATACCTAGCCGGTGAGTCACACTTCTTAGAAAGTATGGATCCCTGAGCCATTTTTTATGGGTCCCCGACCCATACCTTTTTTTGAGTGTACCGTAGATTAAAATACACATTGAATGGGTCACAAAACGTGTTTTTTATTTAATATTCTGAAATTATCACATGAGTAAATCACGTGCTCATGTTTTGTTGCGTATTTTTAGAGCCAAAATCCTTCACAAGCCCGCTTTAAAAGTGCAAAGCTTCGAGGGAATTTCAAACGCCCCAGAATTGTGAGAAAATGATGTAAGTGAAAGTTATGTGCTATGACAGTTTAATCGCTATCTCCTCTCATTTTCCACCGATGTCTGTTAAAATTAAATGAAACGTATTTCTGCGTGGAACCGTTGCTTGTTAATTACAGATAACATATATGTAAATGAGATTGGAATTTTTTTATTCCTAATGATAGTTCCGACTTTCCTCTAGTTTTCATTCACGAGGAACAGGAAGAAAATTCGTGGAAACCCATGCTCGTTTCTGATCGGTACCGGGTTACATCATTCAGTTAGGCGCTAAACCGGGGCGATTTAAAGTTGCAGAGAAGTTGCACTTTTTTACTGCGGACATCTCGGTTTCCGAATTACCTCATCGCGTTTTTGAGTTGTGCATAGTGTTCTGCGCGTTATTTACCTTAAGTAATATGTATTCGCAGGTGAAAATTCGTTCACGGTTCCGTGACCCATTCTCTGAAAAGTACGGAGAGAAATCTCAAAAGGTTTCCCTATAAATTCGTATTTTATCATACGAAATTTGGCAACGGCTGAAAGCTCACGCGTCGTTTTTCCTTGAGTGCACGGTGGTGGTGGTGGGTACAGCCGGCGTCGCGTCGCGACGAGATGCTTTGCAAATTGACTCTGGAGTCGGGACTCCCACCAGTCGCCAAATCGACCCGGAACGAAGCCGTTCCCGAATTCTGCCCACGGGCACGGCGGCACGGCGGCACGGCGCGGTACAGGACGATCCTCGGGAAAACTTTCGCCCGACGCGACCCAGCCAAAACTCCCTCGCCCCCGCCCCGCCCTCTGAGTTTCACCTTTCGGGTGAGTGGTGTAGACAACACCAAGATCTCTTCCCTTTATCTGTAAACGTTTATTTTCTAAATAAGGGCGGTGTATCTTAAAGACAGCAGAATAGCAGTTTACGAATCTAACAGATTCAGTGCACAAGATGCGCCTATAAATAATTCAAGTCAAGGACAAAAGTTGGCGCCTAAATATTGAGGGTCGTCTAGTGGCGATCGTTCATTTTTCAAAAAAGAAAAAAAAATCGAAAATTTCATGGGACAGCTGCTGAAAAACTGTTAGAGGGTTCGTTTTAGGAGACCATTTTACAGAATTGATAGGCTTAAATCTACGAGAGGTAAAATTCAATTTTAAAAGGCGTCAAGAAACTCTTAAAATATCATCTGAAGTTTTTCAAAATTTTAAAATTTGAAAAAATGTAAAAAAAAACTGTGAATTAGGTAATCATTTTTTTCCCAAAAACTTTCTGAGGTAAATTCACGAAAAGTAAAATTTTACTGAAAACATTAGCCAGAAGAGCGTTCCTTAAAACGAACATTCCAGAAGTTTTTTTAAAGACGTTTGGAAAATGGTATGTTAAGGTCATTTCAAACAAGACTGATACAGACTCTGGAACTTGCACAAATGTTTTTGATTGATACCAAAATCTACCTACGACCCTGAAAAAAAAGGATTCAGTTAGGTACAGAAAAGCTGGAAAAATTTAATAAGTCAAAACTAGCTTGATTCTAAAGTGGAATAATACATTAGATATAACATTTACAAGCCGATCAACATGGCAAAATTGGCCATGATAATTTTTAATAAGATTGACTAGTGAAAATAACTAAGATTATTTATTAAAAATAACTTGCTTTAAGTAGAAATATTCTTAAATTGTTTTCCAAGAAGAAATCCCACGGATCACACATAGGATTTGTGAAGTTTTGTTTTAGTCAGAAGTGATAAAGAACCCGCTTAAAGCTAATTTAGCTTTGTTGCAGGTTACTAAAAATCCAAAGAAGGCTTGAAAATATGAAATGGCGGTCATAAAAAGATTGCTCGTGGGTCTTGTTAGCAAGCTTGAAGCTCTGAAGACCTTCAGGAAGACTCGTCTTAAATGAAAATTAAAAGATACCCTTAGGAGCGCCAAATAAGCCTCTCCATTTGGAAACTGGGGAGCATAACTACCTCTTAGTTGTGTCAGTGTACCCCTTACTGATCCTCAAAGTGATGGGATTAATGTTGGAACAACCTAAATGAAGTTGAAACTAAGAAACTTGACAAATCTGCACGCACGCGTCACTGCCATCCTCTCTCTCTCTCCGTGACATCGGGATAAATGTAAGACAATCTCGATACACTTGTCTCCTCTTATTGCATTTGCAGTCCCTCCTCCTTTTCGGTTCGGTTTTCCCAACCCTTCGGTACACTACCTCATTTAAATGTGTGTTTCATTTGGCGTAAGAAAACCGCCTTGGATGTTGCGGAGAGCGCATGACCACGGCACAAAACACGTCAACTGCCGACTCTCTAGAGTAAAGCAATCACAATATTCATTCTGAATAAAAAAACACTCTTAATTTTGGGAAACTGAATAAATTTGGTGCATTCTCTATTCATTTGATTTTTCATGATAGGTATCGCTTTCGACGATAAAAGTGGCTCCTTTCTTCGGAGATTTAGAAGTCACTTCCAACAGAGGAAGATCATTAGCACCTTAACATCATTGCAGCAACTGCGATCTTGACGGGGCGGGAAATTTCTATTAGCTTCGGGACGGTGAAAAGTCAAATCCGGGCGTGAGCAAATGAAACCTCGAACGATTTTATAGTTATGAAAATGACTCCACTTACACATTCCACCTGGCTAAGGAAGAATGCCGTATGCTTTTTTAGACGTTGCAAAATTTTCCTTTCGACATAATCAAGATTTGCAGGAGACTTTGTGAAATTTCTCTTCCAACTTTTCAAAAAATTTTATCCGAAACTCAATGCGAAAAATTAAAAAATTTCAAGATACAATGCTCAAGCATTTATTCAAAACTTTATAGTTTGTCAAGAGTCTGGTGACGTCCGAACTTTCATACGGGGTTATCCCTTAACGTCGCAGTATTGGTCATGGTATTCATTTGTGGGAACACGACCGTTCTTTTATTTCCAGGCAAACGAGAGGATGATACCCCGATGAAGCTCTGCAAGGCCTTGATGCAACTATTCGTGTTGCGCGATTAATTGTCTCCGCAGGGTTATAATTACCATATTAGTGGTGTTCAACATGAACTCTTAATTAGTAGTTGCCATAACCAATAATAGATATATTTTTACCATTAAATAGTAATTCTACTACCGCACACTTGTAAAATTACGATTCCTCCAGTAAAAATATCACTATTACTGGTTATGGCTACTACTAGTTAAAGAGGGCATATTGGACACCGCTAATAAGGTAATTATAACCATAGTTTTTTCTCAGTGCAACATTGAAGGCGCACTAGCTTCTCTATCCTCATGCTAGCACGGTTGCACGGTGGAATTGCGTCAAAGTTCCATTCGAAGGCTTTCCCAAGGTTTTGCAATTTTTCTAACGCGCACATAATACCACTTCCCTAAAACTTGTGGATGCCCTGGAACCTCGCAAGACTCCGTGAAAAATCAAAGTCAGTCACAAGTTTTTAGCTATTCTCTAGGCAGACTTTCATTCTTCGTAAACGGCATAAAAAACTGAGGGGAACTAGCTAATGTGCTTGTCCGCTGGAAATATTCGTTGGACTCAATTGTTGTCATAGTTTTGAGGTGTTTTCCGACTTGTCCATTAAGTATTGATAAGACTAATTTTTACGGAGGGGGATCCTTGAGAAAATCTTCCGATTCATTTTCCGTATTTTGTTTTCCCTGTAAAGTTTAACAGTTCTGTTCAGCGTCCTGTATACACTTAACGTTACTATGTTTACTAAACTAAACTAAACACGTGATTCAATCATAAATAGACAACGCCCATAAAAAATAGAAATTGAAGCATCTAATAATACGTGTTCGATTGGAGCGATTTAAACGGGCTCTAAACTTTTCTTACGTTCGTATTCCCTAAGTACTTATTGCGCGCGAAATATGTTGCCGTTTAAAGAGCTTTAAATTCAAAAGCGAAAGCACTGACACATATGCGCTGAATTTTGTGGTTCAGGATCCATTTTCCGCAAGGTGACTCTTCGATGTTCAACCAAAGGTTAAGGTAAATATTTTAAACATTTCGGACATATTATCATACCGATGGTGAAAGTGCGAAACCACGTATCTTCATTTGCGACGTTGCAGACTTCTTGCCATACTTTGTCTTTCCTTCAGAGTACTGGTCACCGTATTTTCATGAAATCTTTCTTTCTGATTGTTCTTTCCCATTAGAAGAATAGTTTGTATTAATTTCAAGCTCTTATGTTGGCTCGTTTCTATTAGAAAAAAGAAAATAGTATAGAGGACATTTTTAAACACAGCAACTTTATAAATTTTTAAAGGGCAGATAGAGAGATTCGTATCAGAGGACACAAAAATAATGTACCGTGATCATTTCTCACAAGTCGTATGGGCTTTTTTGGGAATCCTTAAAAATTTGTTTTTCTTTATTTTATTGCCAAAATTAGCAGCGAGGAAGTATTTAAAAATGATTAACCTTAATGTGGCTCACTTATTTACAAATATTATATCGATGCATTAATGATTTGTGCTAATACAAAGCATGTATCTATGAGAGATTTGCATGATTCATAGTTCCATTTGATTCATTTATGCGCGGTTCATTTTAATTCATTTTTGAGTAATTATTTTTGACTTAATTCATTAAAGCACAGTTCCTTTTATTGACATGGACTCGTCGATATACTGACTGTACTTGCGTTGAAAATTGCTTTCCAATGCGATAAAAGTACATTTCAAAACATTTGTGTTATTTTCTGCGTGGTTGAAAGTAGATGTGAAAAATCTCCGAAGAAGACAAATAATATTTTGAGAATATAATTATCTCTAACTTGTTCCAGATATGTTCAGTTTCTTTGCCTCTTAAGCTCCTTACACTTGGGAGCGGCGGTGGTATTCGAGATAGAAGCTGTTTCGCCACGGTTTTGCGCGCCAGAAGAGCCTCATTTTGACAATGCAACTCAAAGACTCATTTTTGCTGATCAGTTTGGAAAACAATTCTGCAGTTATGATCTTAACACGAACTTAACGTCATGCACATCTCTTGGTAATCATCTTCTTAATTGGCCAACATTCATTATTTATTTGTGTGTAAGATGTCCAACGATGAGATAAAGTCGGAAAGAATCGAAACTGGGGCAATTCATGAAGCTGTTCATGAATACATTTAAGAGTGTAGGTATTACGCATAATTGTTTTGTTTTTGAAAATTGATTTCGTTGCAAATGCTCGTATGGAGACAATTTGCAAGCAGCTTACTTCAAGCTCAATCATAGAAGCCAAGTATTTATATACGTTTTTCCTCTTGATCAGGGGGTGCTACTAGGTCTCCAGGTTGACAGAAAATCACCTAATTAACCAAACAAGTATCTCAAATCTCAAACTTTTAATTGAGGACACCGCACCAAGAACAGCCTATAGGCGTATAAGTCGTTATTACGCCCATCTGCTTTTCGGATTCTACGTACCCTGGACTATGCTGTGATAGCGATAAAATATAGATAGGTAACGGCTCGAGGTCGAAAAACCTTTTTTCCGAGTTAAGTCAGGCCACTGGATCGATGGGTGCAAGAACGACCTATAAGCGGGCCTATAAACTTAAGGGCCTATAAGATGCTAGTTACCCATTTCTTTACACACTATCAATATTCTTTCATTTTACGTTAATCATGTGTGATTAAAATGATTCATACTTCATATTGCCACCAAAATGACTGTTGGGCGTAATAATGGCCTAAAAACCGCGTTTTTAAATTAAATATATTAGAGTGTAAACCCAAAACGTATCGCAAAATCTACCCGGCATCCTTCAATAATTAAGGGTTAGGTCATGCACCCAAAAACACCAAAACAGGGTACCAGGGTACATCAAAAACACAACTTTAAATGCGTTTTTCTCAAAACGCGGTTTAAAGTAATGGGCTGTTCTTGGTGCGGTGTCCTCAATTAAAATAGCCTTCATGCACGCTGGGCTTGTCGATTTCCTTTGACATTATTGCAGTGGTGAATGCATAGCTGAGGTGCGCTCCGGCTAGATATATGTATTTAGCAAATGGGTGATTTTTATAGGAGGATTATAAATAAACAAGTGGTTAGAAATGAAGCAAAAGAATATAAACTATGCAAAACGATAATCCGGGTATCGGAACTTGGCTGTTTTGAAAACGCCTTCAAATAAGGCGTGATACCTCACGCATTCCGGAGAGTTCAAATATTTGTATCATTGCGCCGTCAGAATGAGACGGAAGATTAAAATGGAAATAGCCTCCATGCACGCTGGGCTTGTCAATTTCCTTTGACACTTTTGCAGCAGTGAATGCATAGCTGAAGTGCGCTCCAGCTAGAATTGTATTTAATAAATGGGTGGTTTTTATACGAGGATTAAAAATAAACAAGTGGTAGGAAATAAAACATAATAATAGGAACTTTGCAAAACGTTAATCCGGATAGCAAAACTAGGCTGTTTTGAAAACGCCTTCAAATGCGGCGTGATACCTCACGCATTCCAGAGAGTTCAAATAGTTGTATCATTGCGCCTTAGGAATGCGACGGAAGATTACAATATTGAGGACACCGCACCAAGAACAGCCTATAGGCGTATAGGTCGTTATTACGCCCCTCTGCTTTTCGGATTCTACGTTTCCTGGACTATGCTGTGGTAGCGATAGAGTATAGATAGGTAACGGTTCGAGGTCGAAGAACCTTTTTTTCCGAGTTATGTCAGGCCACTGGATCGATGGCTGCAAGAACGACCTATAAGCGGGCCTTTCAGCTTAAGGGCCTATAAGGTGCTACTTACCCCTTTCTTTACTTACTATCGATATTCTTTCATTTTGCGTTAATCATGTGTGATTAAAATGATTAATACTTCATGTTGCCACCAAAATGACTGTTGGGCGTTATAAAGGCCTAAAAACCGCCTTTTTAAATTAAATATATTAGAGTGTTAACCCAAAATGTATCGCAAAATCTACCCGGCATCCTTCAATAGAAGAGTTAGGTCACCCAAAAACACCAAAACAGGGTACCTGCATAGAAAAGTCTGCGCAGTACATCAAAAACAAAACTTTAAATGCGTTTTTCCCAAAACGCGGTTTCAAGTTATAGGCTGTTCTTGGTGCGGTGTCCTCAATTATAGTAGCATACTAGGGGGCTACGCCCCCTGGCCGCTACGCGGCCCAACCCCCTGAAGGCGCTCCGCGCCAACAATGGGCCGCTTCGCGGCCCTATTTTTACCCTCCTATCGGTGTTAGTTTTATTTTTCCCCTAAAAAATTACGATATGAAGTATACTTTAATTTTAAACATTACTTAAAATTACTTTAAAATTAAAAGGACGCGTCTTGGAATGACTGCTTGATGAAATATTGCAGTAAAACAATGCACAGAGATAGTCACAGGTAATCATTAAGACTTTGCGTGGGTCGGGGATCGAACCCACACCGAGTTCAAAATGGACGCTTTCGACGTCTTAGACGACTCGACCACCGCTCGACGTGTGGACTCAGGTGCGAATCTTGTGTAGATAAGTGTAGAGCTGATGCGCAGGCTACACAGCTACTGCGCAACCTCCTCGACCACTGCGCATCCTCCCGCGCATAGCGGTAGCAGTACCGGAGCATTCTACATATAAACTCACTCACTTTTATAACGTGATTTTAAAAAAAAACCTGGGTCCTTTTTCCAAAATCTGATTACAGCGGGCTCATCTAGGGCCTATTACCTGTCGATTTACGCAAAAATCATGGAAATCGGCCCGGTAGAACGCTCAAACGAACTATGACAAAAAGTATAAATTTACATTGTTTAAATGAGAGAATTCGCAACTTTACCACGTAATATAAAAAAACTTGGGCCATATTTTGAAAATCTGAAAAGAGTTGGCTTATCTAGAGACAATTGCCCGTCGATTGCCGCAAAAATCATGAAAATCGGCCCGGTAGAACGCTAGAACTAAGCGCAGTGGCGTGCGGTGGGTTCAGTGACAGGGCAAGCTGTAGCGTTCGCCATCGGGGGNGGGGGGAGTGGTTTATCGTAGCCTCTTTCCCTTCCCCCTCCCCCCAGCCTCCCTAGAAAATTCTTAAAATTTTACTCTATTTGCTCTATTTTTCGGATGAAATCTGATGGAACGCCTTGAAAAACTGTGGTTTTATTTCTTTCTCTCTTATTTATGATTTCATTTACTCAACTTGTTTCGAACGTTATTGATCATTGGAGGACGGCTCCATACTCCTAACTCCTAATTTTGCCACTTATTTGAGGTATTATATGTAGTCTTAATTCTACAACATTTAGAATTTTTTGAGTTACTTAAATTTCCCCCAAAAAAAGGGCTTTCTGCATTTAAAAAAGGATTGAGACTTGTCTAATTCATCACCAATTAGATCCAAGTGAGCGAAATTTTATAGAATATAAAGGCATTTGCTCCGGAGGAGCAATTACAGCCGCGACGGAAAGAGGGAACAAGACAGCGCATTGGAGGCAGAAGCAGCGCGCTGCGGTGTGACGGGCCAAGAGATGGCCAAGAGAAGCGAGCTGCGATCGCGCAGCGAAGGGCTCGGACTCGGAACGTACCGCTCTCCCCGCCCGCCTTGATTCCGCCGCCGCACTATGGTCCCAATTCACTTTTCAGTGATCAAAAATCTTAGCGGCTCTCCGTTTGAGTATAAATACATTTAAGATATGTTTTCCTCATGATTTTGATGCGCTGAATCCGAATTTNAATTATATTTGCTAAAATGTAAAACATTTAATAGGTGTAATTTTCTTCTTTCTTTTGAAATCTTTGGGCAAGCAGTGCTTGCCTTGCTTATCCGGACCGCACGCCACTGACTAAGCGTCACCAGTTTCGCCAAATTAGGAGGTCTTGGAGCTTATAGTATAGATGGTGTATTGATGGTTATACTGAAAAAAAGTATCACAATCCCAAATAAACTCCCGCCTGTTTTTGGTGCCAGAAATAAGAGTAGTTGCACTAGCCAGAGGTAAAGTTACTTTCGGCAGACTCAACCGCATTTCTGATTGGTGCAACTAAATCAGGTGCCAAAATTAGTCAGGAGTATAGTTGGGATTGTGAGCTTTTTTTCCGCGTAAATGAGATAACTGTGTAGCTCAATTACAACGAATTTTCTCACGAGAAAATTGATAAAAATGAGTCCTTTTAATATTGTGAGATTCCTTGTGATGAGGATAGAAAATTCACAAGCTGAGGCAACTATTGGTAGGTAAGCCTGTAAAAACATAACAACAGCAGTGAATTATATGACGCGACGTCGCGATCTGAGACGGGTAGTTTTCTACTTCAACCATCGATTAGCAGTTTTAGAATGGGTCCTTTTGGTGAGAGCAAGTATTTTGGTTTGATGATAGAAGTAGAATGATAAAATCCATCAAGACATTACGTAACTTTACGGTTTACACTAGTTTCCATATTCCTAAACGCGTGTTCCCCTCTTTTACTCCCTTTTAAGCGCTCAGCCGATAGGCAGCGCTTTTTGATTTCGACTTGCCTCTAGAGTACTAGTATACTAGTGCTAATTCGTTTAAATGGCGCACCAGCTCATCGATGTGTAGGCTTTTGGGGGGGTCCAGTTTTAAAATAAATAAAGCTGTGATAACCGTATTTTATGCTTTTAACGTAATGCGCGGGTAGTTACGATCGTTTGTCCATAAGAAATTTCCTTAGCGGTAGAGTAATTCTTATCGAAATTGATCGTTGAAAATAAAAGAAGCCTAAAAAAACGCGCCTGATGAGCTCAACGGTGGCTATCATTTTCGGGAAACGAAAAAACGCGTTTACGGTTTCCTTGGTAACCTTTGTTTGCTATCAGCTGATGTTTTATTTCCATTTCCCAGCCAAGTTGACGGAGTTTATACTTCCTTCCTTCACTAAATGCATTTACTAACACCTGAGCGCTTTCCTAATACGACAGTATTAGAACTTTCCCGCTTTTGAGCTCGCCCACTCGGGAGAGCTCTTTGCGATCGATTTCTTTTAGCATTGGTAGTGTCCGTGGCGACAAATGGATGGTTCTCGTTGCCGTCAGAGGAACGGCCAAAATCCCATTGATTTCAACGTCTAAAAGTTGAATTTTCGCGGGTTACAGTTTTCCTCCGTCGAACATTTCCGTTCCCTCATTCAACTGAGGATTAATTGTTCCTCGTTTGCTACACTGGAGAGCAGCACTTTCCAGAGGCCGAGCATATCATAGCATGTTGCTATGGTTTTATAGCAAATAACCTAATTGTATGTTATCATCCTCTTATCTTTTCAATGCAGTTTTTGTGTGCAGTTGTACTTGCAATTGTTATTATTTCTTAAAATAAAAAACATGGTGACCTCGACGTGATTTAATAATTTGTTCAATTAATTTTAAGTTACTAAGACTAAGATTGAGATTTGCGCATAATTAATGGATAATCCTTAAGATTGCCGTTATTGGTACCATAGAAGGTTAATTAGCCTCAAAATAATTGCATGCTTGAGAGCTCGGTTGAGACTCGCATTGGGATCCTTTCAGAGTTTTTTTAAACCTCATATTAAGAATGCTTTAGGATTCGTTTGAGCCCCTCGCATTAAGAATGCTTGGGAGTTCGTTTGAGCCTCGCATTAAGAATGCTTGAGGGTTCGTTTGAGCCTCGCATTGAGTTTCTTTAGAGTTCGTTTTAACCTTAAAATACAGATGCATGAAGTGCTCTTTCGAGCTCCGTGCTATTTATAGTGCGCGAGCTGCTCCATTGAGCCACCGCATACCTACAAAGCCGTGATGTGCTCCATTGAGCCACTCGCATACAAAGGCTTGAAGTGGTCTTTCGAGCTCCTCGCTAAAATTCAAGTGAATTCCTTTTCAGCTCTTAGTGTATACCATAAGTCTTGTGTAAGAATTATGGCAGAAACGTTCCTCCGAACCGTGCTCAATTATTGTTTCTTTGAACTCTGTGCCGATAAAAATTCAGAATTTCAGACTGCCAGCTTAACAAAGTATAACCTTAATTCAAGTTGGCGACTTGATTTAAAAAAAAAAAAATTAAAATTAAATCATATGGTTTCATTACATTGTTGACAAGTTAAGAAAAAGCTTATCAACGATGAAAGCCAGAAACAAAAATGCGATGGCAAAAATAGCCATTGCAACATTTGCCGCAAAATCACATTCATAAAAGATAGTTCCATTTCTTCCGCTTTATTTCTCTTTATTTATTGTAATGTGAAAAATTTGTCATATGAAATTACGTCATAACATTTTGCATCGGCATGTAACCTCTGATAATTGGGTAAAGATTCATTTAATACATATAAAATTTCAGAAAAAATCATTAATAGTTGTTAATAGTTTCCCAAAGGCGAGCTCTCCAACACAGTAGTGTTGGAACCAGCAGCTTGTTTTTGCATTTGAATCTTACGAAAATAAAAGAAGCTCCCAGCTACGGCTCTCGGTACACTTCCCAGTGGCTTATCACAATTGGCTGAGGGCTGTAAGAACACTTGACTGTTGGTGAGGGTCCTCAAAACGCTCTGTGTGCTCTCTTTTATAAATGACAGCAAACGAAACTCGAAGTTCCTTGATTTGATGATTGTTTTCTGTGTAGATGAGTTCACTGCCGCGATTGTGCCGATCAAAAACTCAACGAACCAATTCCTGGCAGGAATTGGACCCTACCTGACCGTGTTCACATGGGATGAGATTTCGGCCGAGTCAACATACGTAGTTTTAGCGAGACCTGAAACTGAGGCAGCGTTCCCTGGAAACTTCTTCAACGATGGCAAGGCGGATATAACAGGACGTTTCTGGATTGGTGAGCCAATTGTCAAATACTTTTGTGGCAGTGGCTGGACGTGCATAATCTTTAGTCTATAAACTATAAACTAGGCATCGATTTCATCAAACACAAGGAATGCCTGAATGGGTATGCTCCGAAAAATGTAAGATTCCTATCTTGATATCTTAGATTGGAAAATTTCACTTTCCATCCTGAATGCACGATGTCATGACGGGACGTTTCACCTTCACAGATTCTTACGTGACATTTGACCTACAACATCAGACCTGCATACATTTGAGCTAAAAATTAAGACCTACTGGACTTCACCACAGGATTGCGTTTTGACTTCCCTTGAATATTTACAGGCTCACAGGGACCATTAGACCCCTCTGGCCCATCAGGAGCTGTGCCGAACCGGGGCAGTTTTTACAGCTACGTCACTGAAAATTGCAGTTTTGCCAAGAAAATAGGAAATGTCAGCATTTCAGATGGGCTGGCCTGGAATAGCGACTACACAACCTTGTTTTACATCGATAGTGGCGTAAATACAGTGGACAGATTTGACTTTGACATAGAAACTGGAGAAATTAGTGAGTACCAAGTTTCATTTATGTTGTTACTTTCTCGCTCTCCTTGGAGGTAGAGGAAGTATTTTTTCATATCTTTTGCTATTCATTGCTTTCATACAATTTTTTTACAGATTTTTTCACGTATGATACTGGGAATTTCAGCGCCGCTCCCACATTTTTCACCGTAACGCGCCTTTTAATCACTATTGTATAATGAACTTTAAATGCTAAAAGGAACTAAGTTGCATGTGAACCCTATGCATATAGTTTCTTTCAGCATTAATACGTCTTATTGTTAGTCGTTTTGAATTTTTTCCTTCTCGCCTGGAATTACAATTTCCTTTATATCGATTTCTCGCGAAATTTATACGTGATAAAAATTACTTTGAATGAACTTCTTTATCATGAACAACTCAAAGCCTATTTCTTGCAATCCCATATTTCAATACAACAAATTAGAGGACTGTAATAAATCGCCGTTATTAAACAGTCAATTGATTGTTTGGACATTGCAAATATATTTTAAACCGTAATTGAAAATTCCTCTAAGTTTTGATTTTTGCCTTAATTTCCTAAAAAAGAGCACCCCCCCGATAAAAATTCATAGCTATTTGCATGTTGGTAGAACTAGCCAACTTTATGCATAAGCATAGCCCCAGTGAATTGTTAATTTACTCGCAAATTTTACTTCTAATTTGCGATACCATTTATGTACAGGTAACCGCAGGACCGTAATCGACTACAAAGAAACGGACATTCCTGGTTTCGCTCATGGCATGACAATTGACACAGAGGACTATTTATACGTCACCATCTACGGAGGATCCGTGGTAAGTCGTACTTTTAAGTAAATAATACAATTGTTTTTCTTCATTATAAAATAAGGGGCGTAAGGGGGCCCCCGGATCCCCCTTACACTCTCCTGTTCAAGGTGTCTGGATCCACCTATGTTTACCGCAGAGTACCAGGAGAGAAAACCGCCGAACGTATGTTGTTATAAAGTTCGATCGACAAGAAATACAAGGTTATCCAAGGTTAAACCGACAGACTGCGAAATCTTGCTCAGTGAACAGAGAGAAGTAATGTTTCATCTATGGAGTTTTCATTCTAGAAGTCCCCTGAAAGTAGCACGGGCCCTTCAAAGTTACGGAAATATCGTTTCCCCGAATTTTGACAGCGGTTATGGGCGAGAATGCATGAAAAAGGCTAACACCCAAATTGTAAGCGCTGAATTCATCAATGGCCTCATATATATCGATATCTCAAACCACAGGGGGGGGGGGGGGGGGAGTTCAGGGTCTTGAGCTCAAGGTCTTTTTCAGGGCAAAATACTCTGAAATAAAGACCGTTAAAGTCTACCTTATTTGACTTGAGATATCAATGTTTTTGGGACATGGATTAATTCGGAGCTTAAAATCATGAGAGTAAGCCTTTTTGTGTGATCTTGTCTAAATCCGTTTTCCAAATTATAAGAAACTTTGATTTTCCCGAAAATTTGAGGGGGCTATTGCTCCTACAGCGGGCACTTTTGGTAAATAATTCATAGAAGAAAAAGTTTTATTTTATCAATGAACACGGCACTCCAGTATGGCGGTTTAACCTTGAATCAACCTGTATAAATGAAAAATGGCGATTTTTCACGTGAAGACAAATGAGGTCTTGAAAAGTGTTACGTAACTTCTTATGGAGGGACGAAGGGAATACCTTGCTTGAAAACGCGTAAAACGTGGCAAAAAAGGTTCTATAATTTCGAATCGAATCTCCCGCCGACCCCACAAAAATTTGCGTCCCCCTCCCGTGACGTAAATAATTTACACCTCTAAGTTTATTCCGTACACACTGGTTCAGAGAGATACACTTTTCCGTTTCTTTTTTTCAGATTACGAAGGTAGATCCGAATAGCGGAGAAGTCCTTATGCGTATCGAGATGCCGATGACGTTAGTAGCGGACGCAGAGTGGGGCGGCCCAGATCTGGACGTTCTATACGTCACGTCTCACAGCAGAGGCCTAGACGGCAGCGAGTTGGAGGAGCAACCGTTGGCCGGCCGCGTCGTCGCCGTCAGAGGGCTCAACGCCTCGGGGCGCGTCGCCAACGATGCCATCATCTGTCTCCAGTCTGGGTCGCACGAGTCCGCCACGTGTTCTTCAAAGTCAAGACTTCGGAAGTTAGGGTCGACTTAATAGTCCTTCCTTCAAAAGCTTCACGGAATGAAAACGGTTTTCGTCGAGGATACAAAACGAGCAACTCAAGTGGACTACATCTTGCAATTAACCCCTATACATTCTGACTCATTTCAGAAACAACAGATGTGCCATTAGCTTCCCTGAGCAGAAATATTTTTTTTTTTAGGATGAGCTAGAAATTCAATTCCCAATTGCAAAACGTACGTCAATTGACGTTACCTGATTTGCGCCCCACATCTGCCGGTTTAGGACCGCAACATACCTCCGTGAGAATCAGGCCAGTAATCTATAGGTAAGGACAGGGGTGTCTTTGATATTGAATAGGTCGATGACTTGGTTTTTGGCGTGAAAAGGAGGTTATTTGCGGACCCCGAAAAATTCCAATTTCAACTGAGATTTTAATTTTTCTGGTACAACTGTTGAGTTTAACGTGCGTCAGATTATGGGTGCATAGCAGTTTTCACGAGATTCGGTGCATTACCGTTGTTAAAATGCAAGAATAACTATATTTATTCCCCAATAATTTGTGTGGAGGAGAGGGAGAGGCTGCTGTCCCATTGAAAAGCATGTTAAGAAAAATATTTTTTAGAAGAAAAATGTCTTCTTTTGACCCATGGAAAACGCTTCTGCAGTCTGGCAATTTAACCTTCATTCAAACACTCTGTATGTTTTGGAGATACTGTTGCATGAGATGAGAAAAATGAAAGTGAGAGTACAATTTTTGAATTTCCGATTATACAATCTATATAGAATCATTTGAAAGCTGCATTATTATAATGAGGAGCGAAAACTAACTGCCCCTTCTCTGATCTATCAATAAATATAAAATTTGCTTTTTCAGTGGTAAGGATATTTTCATAGACAATTTTGGAATTAGCAGTCCCTCCCACCAAAGTAATGGTTTCTCTCCTTTTTTCGCCTTGTAGGCTATAAAAAATTAGGAATTTTTTTATGAAACTGAAAATAGAAAAAAATTACAAAGTTTGCAATCTGCCGACAACTGGTTTCAATTTAACATACTCACCTACTGAGAAGATAAGGACACATGAGCATGGTTCATCCCGCGACAAGTTTCTGTCCCATCGGGCAGTGGACTGATTGGTGTAAAGCATACTCGCTTATGGCACGCAAGAGAGCGCTTTCACTCGAGAGAATAGCAATAGGGCAAAAGCCTAGCTGAAATGATTACTTCAGCTCATTGGAGTAGAATCAACCCTGGAGGAAAACGATTAGCCCATGAATAAACAAAGGGGTCTTGCATCTTCTTTGATGCTGCGCAATTCCGGAGCGATTTCTTGCTTCGTTTCTCCCATCTCGCTATTCTCTAGTCTCCTGCTCCGCGATCCGCGAACCGAGAACCTCGCAACTCGACCAAAAACTTAGCGCGGATACGTTGTTTTTCCTCGAAACGATCACTCCTCGCTCCTGACTTGGATGAAGCGTTTTTTCTAGCGGAGGTCCGCGAGACGATTATTTCATCTGACAGAAGCGCGCGGTGTTGCGTCGCCTCTGATCCGTCGCCCGGTTGGCAAAACGGCGTAATTGCACATTGAGGTGAGCCCAGAGGAGCATTCAATAGTACGGACGACAGGGCTCATTATTGGATGTCGTTACGCCCTTCGGTCAGGAAGGTGAGAGATTGGAAGACTTCTCGCAAATTGATACCGGTGGAAAGTCACCAGAGGTTACTAAAAATTGTTTCATCCTCTAGGAATGATCACTGTTGCTGAGCTCTTTGAGTCGCACCGTGGACGACCATTGAAAATGGAGGAGTTTCCGGGCCAAAAACGGCAACATCCTTTCAACTTGCCACCGTGACTGGACCGGGAGGATCCTTCCAATTCGATATGGATGTCATTACTTTGCAGCTACAGATTATTTCCGATTAGTTGCCAGTTTTTCAAAGTCAGATATGCGGCTGAAATTGTATGGGGCGCCTCCTGGCCACTCCGAGGACTAAGCCTTGACGTAGGCTTCGCAGCACTGGAAGATATTGGGCTTATTTGATGGGAGCGGACTTATCTAAGATTACCATTTGCAGGTACCCGAAAAATCATAGAAATAGAGCCGGTAGATCATCACAAAGTACAAATGTGAGAAAATGAACATTTGAAGTCAGAGAGGGTGAGCTAATGATTATTTCTTTGAAAAAAAAAAAAATACAATTTTATCTTCACTGTTAGATGAGGGCCTTGAAGGATAAAAGACATACGTGCAGTTTTAGCTATTTCAAGAAATATGCGTTTAAAATTTTAAAATTACTTGAATCCTTATGGCGGAAAAAAAAGTTCCAACTCACTTTTTGCTGCTTAAAAAACGGGATGTGAGTCGTGAATTTTTTAAGGAGATACTTTAAGACCGCTTATAGTTGAAATCATTGATATCTCAATTTTGTTTTGAAAACTTACAATAGTGTGCCTTGTCCTCAAAGGCACCTCACATTACAATGAGTTTGTATAGAAATAAGCGAATGCTAGGTTGAGTTGCGAGGATGGTACATAATGCGAGAGGTGACGGGCGGCGCGGAGGAAGTGTGAAATTGTTTTCCGTTGCGTGAGGATATGGAAAGAGAGTCGAGTGGGAACTGGAATCATCCGAATAGGCGGACCAAAAACGATTTAATCATGAAAAAGGGGTGTTAAGGGAGCGGGAGGGGCGAATTGGTGTCAGCGTTTCAAGATGCCTTGGGGCGGCGCGGCGGCGGCATGGCGATCCAGCACGAGCCAACAAGGGACCAGTTTAAATTGTCGCTTGTGTAGAAAGCTCATTGATTTTGTCGAGCCTTTCCATACGCCACGTCCCATTGTGTGAAGCTTCACATTCCGTTAAAAGCTCATGTTCACCGAGCTTTGAAAGCTCGCTTAGATAACAACATTTTCCCTTCTTTTCTTTTTTTCCAAGGGAGGATAAGCTTCTGCAGTGGAGTCCATTAATCATGCCTATCTCGTGGCGATAGAACATCCTTGTTATTAATGATACGAAACCGAAATCGGTCATTATCAATTACATCTTTGTTTCCAGAAAGAGTTTACGCTCTTCCCTCGGTTGGCAACAATTTTCCTTCCACCTCCGAGCTCCGAGCGTCCGACCCGAAGCGGATGAAAGGATTAGGCAGAAATTTAATTAAGTGAAATTGGTAGTTTTTCATCATCCAATGAACTCGAAGAATGTTGCCATCATTTATTAACTGAGCTTTTAGTAGTGTGCCCGTGTCCCATTTAATTAATCTTGGGGTACATCGGAGCTTCCGTGAGCATCCCTAACCCAATTCTAAGTAATCATGGCCTACCGCATTCATCCCTTTGAAGATTCCCTTCCTCAACCACTTTGACACACAGAGTCACTGATGTGCCAAAGCTAATATTTAAACTTTTCCCCGAGAGCTGAAGGAAAAAACGACGACTCAACTTCCGTTTTTACTTTGCCTCTCTTTCATCTTCAATTAATGCGACCTACAGAGAGGGGTAGTGGCTCTTTTGGGGGCTGGAGAGCATTTTATCAATAGCCCCATGACGATTTGATTCATGTTTGTAACATTCAGTTATTTCTGTTTGATCTCTTATATTAAGAAATAAATAAAAATGAATTAAATGAAACGAGCTGAGAGAAAAATCTGACATGACGAAAAATCAATTCGTTCCATCTGCAAGCGGGAAAAAGCCCACGCCTAGATAGCATCTTGGTCAACTGATGTGGTGCCACACCACTGCACTGGTGCGGCGCACGGTGGATCGAGTCAATAGGAGAGGTCGGACAAAATTTGAAAACTTTAAATGCTCGTAACTCCGCTTTCACAAAACTTTGAGGTTCTAAAGGTAGTTCCATTGGTTTCCTTGTGAAATTTTCTTCTATGAACACCCCTTGAAATTTTAAATGTCACGAAATAAACATTAAAATTTGCAGTTTTAGTAAACAATTTCTTGTCCAACCGCTCTCATTGACTCGCTCCACTGTGCGGCGTGGGTCAAACGCTTGGATGCGACTATTCGTGCTCTATGGATGTGCGTATTGCCCGTCAAAAATATGAAGGAACTTTCATTTTGCTCTCCACCGAGGGATACGCTCGACGTTCGAGGCGTCGTGTCGCGTCGCTACACTATAAGACGTGTTAAGTCGTCAACAACTTCATATTTTTCGTCTCGCTTTATTTCTTGCTTTATTTACAAGAGTATGTGACAATATTGTACGGAAATGTGATAATATTGAGAATGGGTTGACAAATAATCGGGTCAGTCAAATGATAAAATCTATATAAAAATTCTGAATTACTCAGAGGCCGAGTTACTTCAAGGTCGTCTGATACTAATCTACAGTGTTCTGAGTTGACAAGTTTGTAAGGATTAGTAATTGATGGACAACTTTATTATTGTAACTTTAAGATTGTTTTTCAATTAGAGAAAGAAACGGGGCACCGCTATTTCCAAAAACAAGATATAAACACGAAAATGATGGGAAAAATTCATGTCCGAACAAAGTAAGAAAAATGCCGCAAGCGTGTAATATCGTCGCTCCTCTGACGTTCGGGTGTATGTCCATTTCCATGACGGACTCCGAAAAGTGTGGAATTACATGGGCAACAGGGTTCACGTGGAAATTGAGATACACCCGAACGTCAGAGGAGGGAGGATGTAGGCAACCCAGGGTGCCTGTGCGAACACGCAGATCACGTCCAATGAGGATTCTCTGGCCATTACACATTATTAATGGAGTTTTCCCTCGAGTCAACCTCTGAGTGACCTCGAGCCTTCGTTCTCATGTGGACCGAATCTCAATACTCTAACTTATTTTTCAATCGAAATAGCCCTCGATAGTTTCGGGAAAATATGTCCTTTTTTCCTTCATTTCTAAGTGTGATCTAATTCATACTGATACCTGCCCATTGAACATTTACTTCACTTAAAATTTCGTTCTTCCTTCAAGGCAACCTCATTCCAAATAAAATCATGTATATAAAGTATGGTAAAGAATGTTACTTCTGCAAGTTTAAAGTTTATTAATATTACTTCAAGTCTCAAGGTCTATCAAAAGTTTAATCTGAAGCTGTAGGTACACGCGGATGAAAACTAAGTTTTCAAATTGAAACCCTTTGATAAGAGGTGTGTGAAGAAGCAGCCTAAAATGACCAAACGCAATTTTGCATTTTGAACGCTTGACGTGCGCTAAAATAGCTCCCGAGACGCTTTAAACTGGTCGCGGTTTTGCTTAGAAACGCCGTGTTGCGACGTTGCCATTTTATAAAGTGAAAACCTTTAAATATGCATAACTACTCTGCATCTCAACCGATTTCAATGAACTTGTTTCAAAATGTTCCTCTGAAATAGAGCTTCCTAACGGTGTATCGTAATTTGGGTTTACTCGGCACTTTACGGCACTTACACGGTTTTAGCAGTTTTTGATAAACACAAAAATTTGTTTTAATTTTACTACAGTCTTGGAAGCGACGGAATCTGAACAAAAACCAGTCGAAGTTAAAGTTTAGCCTTTCACCTTTCTAGCGAGAAGAAGATCATCCCGGGAAAAGGTCTAATTTCCGAGATGCGACCGCTCAAAGTTAGTCAAAGTCGGTTTTACGCAATTGGAAACCTCAATCCCAGCGTTGAAAATGTGAAAATGCGTTTGATCATTTATGGCCGTTTTCCATAGAGTACATAGAGTCGTAATGTAAATGGGAGAGCTGGCGCCATGCTCTGCTCGACGAGTTCTGAGCCCGGTGTGCGCCGAGTTCAGGTCACTTTTTCGACACATGTTCGATCCAAAATGGCGGTGTGGAATACGTGGTGATTCCTGTCTTCTTTGTTTACATCGGATGGCCGGGTACCCGTGTATCGCAAACAATCGATTGTGTATCGAAAAAGTGACTCGGCGTCAAACAGGAATCTCGGAATTCGGGACCTGGAAAATGCTTAAAAGTGGCGCCAGCTCACCCGCTTACATTACGACTGTATGTACTCTATGCCGTTTTCTCACACACCTCTTTACTTCGGGCCAGTTAGAACAAAATCACCGATATTTCATTGTTTTGAGACTGTCATTTTACTTTTTGGCCCATTGAAAGCCATGATTCACTTTTTGCATGTTGCGGTGATTTTCTTATTAGCAGGGTTGAGATACTCTTTGTGGCGATTTACACGTTGGAAAGGGGTCATTTATGGGCCACAGTGAGTGCAAAGCCGGCTGTTATATTCAGCTGTGTCCTGGAGAGTTTGATTGGATCTCCTTGAACCTCTGTGAATCACAATGTAAACCACACGAAAGCTTCCAAAGAAAGGAGCTGTTTAAGGAAGGACAACGAAGAGAAGGCTATAATATCCATGAGCAAAATGCGAAACCACGTTACTCTATTATTTGCTCGGAGGATTAAAAGCCGCAACTCTGTAGCATGAATTTTACACAGAGTATTCTGCTAGGCGAGAGGAAAAATCACGGGAGTTGTCAAGAAAATATGAGTTGCCCAAAGAAAGAAGAGAGAATGAAATGAAGGCTACAGCGTGGAAAACGGAGATACGTGGTCACGCACTTTGGCTATGGACGTGGTTTTAATTAAAGGAGGAATTACCTTTGTAGATGATTTTGGGGACGTGGAGGCGTGGCAACGTATAAAAGCGTGGCGTCTGTCGCGGGAGGAGGGGGCGGCGGGGGGCGAGGGGCCGGGGGCAAATGTCTTTTACATGAACTCACTTTCTCCGGTGAATTCTGCCGAGTCCGAATCCGAATGGTATGCCGACCATGCCGCGCCGCCGCCGCGCCGCGCCGCGCCGTCCCGGTCGCGACTCGCCGGTCGACCCGCATCCGCGAGACGCGAGCGACTTGTGACTTGCATCTGCTCGAGTTGGAGTTGGAGTTGGAGTCCATCGATGCCGCCGCGCCGCGCCGCGCCGCGTCTTCCCCATCCAGACTCCGACGCAACCGGCATCCATGACCTCACTTCCCGAACACGCCCCGGCGTTACCTACAAGAGACGTAACGCTCAAATTTTCCAAATCCAGTTTTCTCCAAAATTTGCCCAAGGTAGTGGCTCAAATCTCCTGCTCGCAGAATTGTGTTTTATTCATGCTTGATCCATGTAGATTAGCGGGAACAAAAAGATCCGTCCAAACAGCAACTTTCTAAGTTCAATATCAACAGAGATGTCACGCTTTGAAGAATC